TCGGCAGTCGAAGGACCCCGAGCCGATCTTGCACCCGAGCAGATACTGTACCGACACCGGCTACTGCAGCGAGTTTATGCCTAGCTGTCTCCGTGACTGTGATTGGTCAAATGACGACTCGTGACCCACTAACAAAGATGGTTTGTGAAGAGGATGAACACTCCTCGTTTTGCTGATATTGATTCTTATAGAGAGCGACTGAAACGGATACCCTGGTTTTACAACGCAATCATTCATTCACACACTGGTGGTGATGAGCTACGATGTAGCCTTAGCTGACCTGGGGCGCACTGACACCGGCGAGTCTGCTGTACACAGGCGCCGCCGGTCCCTCTGACCACCACCAGCAGGCAAGGTGACTGTCTGTCTTGCCCAAGGACAACGACAACAACAGACTGAGCGGGGCTCGAACCTGCAACCTTGCGATTACGGGGCGAGCGCTTAACTCGTGTGCCACTTTCGTCCAGTCTGTGGGAACGTGAGGAGCTGCATGCATGTGTAACCAGCTCTGTTCTGATGTTATTTAGTTCTTGTGTCCGTTTCATCTTTGAGTCTTTTTTTACACCATTCTTACGATGGACCTCGTTGTGTCTGCAATAACATGGTGATGACCATGATGATGGTTTGATGGTCTCAGTTACCTTGTTTGAACCATCATTCATCATAATGTTCTTTGTCAACATTAGTAGTAGAAATACAGTATTAAACGGACTTTTATAAACTGTATTTTTGTCTCCATCTCAAATTATTATGAAGGTGTGTTTCCCTTAACCACCACAAAGACCTGGTTTCACCTTAGAGCAAATATCAAAGGTTCAATAACACTGACGGGTCATATTTAAATGGAATATCACATCTTATTGATCATTCCTTAGATGTAACTACATTTGTCATGTTTCAAAACACACACACACACACACACACACACGCACGCACGCACGCACGCGCACACACACACACACACACACACCAAGTGTTTTAATCATTTATTACATCATATACAAAATGACCTTCAACTATTTAAGAACGGTGCATCTGCCTATGAAGCGCTGTTTGTCCAAACTGTGGGGTGGTGTGAGCACGAGGGAGTCAATGGGGACGTTCCTTTCTGCTGATAAGGGTTTCTGCTGCTAGGAGACGTTGGTTTATCTCAGAATTCAGAAGGGTGGAGGCTGAGCACACCACCAGATAATCATGCTGAGAAACGGCCGAGCATGTGATGGCAACAGGCGTATGCTTGTGTTCTGACATGTGTGTCTTTGGCCAAGTCAAGCTTTAAAGGAAAAGTAACGAGTCCTGGCTCTCCTTTGTTGTGCGGTTTTAACAAACAAAACCGGGAAGATTTCCCTGACTAATATACTTAATTGTCCCCTGAAGAAGGAGCTTGACCACGCACCCTGAAAGTTACAGGCCTGTTGAAAGTTACTGTTTACTTCTGGGTAACTGTGCACTAGAGGGGGAAAGCGTTTTGGGATCCCAGTGGGTCACGTGATTCCTGAGGGATTACCATGAAAAAGGGAGTCAAGTTATTTATAATCACGTTACTGGGACAAAACAGGAAAAATAATCAGCAAGAGTGGGAATAAAATTGATTCCTGTTCACCATGAGTGCCGTTTTAACTAACATTTAGTTCTGTCTGAGCTTTCGGACCACAGCGATTGTGAAAACACGAGGGACATCACCGATGTGTTCGATCATCAGGCTTTATGACCAACGTGCATCTTCTCTTAACTTGCCAAAGACGTTCCTGAAAACCACAAATTGCAGATCATGTGCTCTGATTCCGTGACACAGACATTTTACTCAGTAATCCATCAGAGATCGTCTCTGGAGCAACACCTCTACCTGATCGGCGATGCGGGAGCTTTAAGCAGCTGCGGTACAAACGGGGGGGGGGGGGGGGGGGGGGGGGGGGGGGATGTCATTACTTATATTTGTGATATTTGTGCTCCAGATAGAATCTGCCCTGTGTGTGAAGTCCACTCAAATCGAGACGAATTAACTCTAAACCATGTCTACCTTCTCAAGTGAATTCTTTTACTTTAACAATCTTCATGTAGGGTCCAGAAAAAAACGGACTCCAAGTGGAAACTTTCTGAAGCGTTGCATCTGGATCCGTACCACAGCCGGTTTGAATGCTCTCGTTGGGCTCAGCGATTTCTGATCGCATCCATTCTGGATTTGGTGTGATGGAGGCTTCGGGACCTCTCTGAGCAGCAGCTGCAGCCCTGCTCTGGTTTTCCTTCATGTAGTGTGTCAACCCTGGTCCTCAGTTCTCCCATCCTACAGGTTTTAGGTGTCTCCCTGCTGCCACACACCTGCTCTAAATGAATGAGTGATTAACAGGTTTCTGCAGCACTTGATGTCTTCCTGAGAAGGCCAGGCAGATATAGAAACCAGCTGGGCTGAAGCAGGTATGGAAAGCATGCAGGACCAGAGTACTTGATAAAAGCTGGTTTATTATTCATTTGAGTTGGGATGGATCCATGTGTCACATGTCCCTCTTCCTATTGAAAAAACAAAAGTTGGATCCAAGATGGCCAACTTCAAAATGGCCTCCATGGTCACCACCCATCTTGAAAAGTTTTCCCTCTCACATATACCAACGTGCCACAAACAGGACGTTAATATCACCGACCATTCCCATTTCATTAAGGTGTATTCATAGAAACAGCCCACCCTGTATGTCTTGTATTTACATTGTTTAAACGTATAGCCCAAAAATAAATTCTTACGGTACTTTGTTTAGATTTTTTTTATCCTTCTGAAGGTGGGGTGGCTTCTATTTAGCCGTGAGGCGCGCCACAGCAAAATACATAGAGTGGAACCCCTGAAATTCTAATGTAGCTGTGATCACTGGTGATTAGTGTGTTCACACCACTAAAGCTGGAGGGCAATGGAGTAGAATTCAAGGTCATCCAGTAGTTCAAGGTATTTTTCAACAGAAAATAAAAAGCTCATTAATTCTAGTGTTAAAGATACAGAAAGTGGAAAAGTTGAAAGTGACCTTTCCAAATTGGAAACTAAAAAGGAAACAGACTTCAGTTTAAAGAAAGAAAAAAAAGATTTAGCCTAATTAAAGGGACAGTGTGTATTCTCCCTGGCGATAAGGAGCAGTACATACCTAAATGACTGCAAACAAGAATCATTTTTGTGTTCAAATAAGACCTTACCCACGGGTGTCCATTAGGGTCAAAAACCCACGGGAGAGCAACCTCCAGCAAAACAACAAGCACATCAGGTTCCCTTTCATCACAGGCAGTGAGTGAAGAGGTAAATGTGTAAAACAACATTTATTATTGGTGAAAGTTTTGTAACCATTTGTTACAAATCAGTAAATGTATTTTGTCCTCACGGGCTTCCGTAAAGGGAAACATGGCATCTATTATGGCGTCGCCCAGAGACTTAGACCCGCTCCATGTGTTTTAGACCTGATTTTTATAGTCATGGAACTGCCAATATTTATCAACAACTGGGCATCTTTTCAATCATTTACAACAACATCTGGATGCATATTTCCAGATTAATGGTAAAAACTAGGGATGAGCCGGGTACTCGTTTCAGACGAGTATCCGGTACAGATAAAGCATTTTTGACGAATACGAGCATGAAACGAGTAAAACTCGTAAATATCTGTAATCGTGCTGAAGGAAAATCCTCATTGGGTAACTGACTGTCTTCACGCTCTGTGATTGGCCAGTCACATAGAGCGCCCGCCCCTCCCTGCACACAAAACTCTCTAGCCGGCCGGGAGCGCAGTCCATCCGGCTCATCCACGCGCGCGCGCACACACACACACACACACACACACACACACACACACACACACAGTAACTGATATCTCTGTGCTTGCTTCACTGTTGCTCACGTTTCTTCAGTACTCCCTATGTTTGCTTCGGCTCGCCTCTTTTTAAAGTTACCTTAAAGTTACTTTCCTATCATACATGGTACATTTGACAAGACAGAGCTGAAAACGGCTCGTGTCGGTCACTGCCTCTGCTCCGGTCAGGCTTTTTTCCCCCTCTCTCTCCTCTTCCTCAAGATCCACTGATTTCCCTCTTTCCTATTCTGTCTCTCATTCTTTACATTTTTTAATCACAATTGTCTATTTTTTGCTCATTTTAAATACATTTTAATCATTTTCTGAATTCTTTTTTATATTTTACATTTTTTGTTTTTGTGAAGCACCTCGTGATTTTTATCTTGAGACGCTATAGAAAATCTCTCTCTCTCGTTCTGAAAAAAACTTGTTCTGTGATAGTTCCTTTGTGATAAAAAATATTTAATCTCAATTCTGAGGCTGTTCTGTAAATAGTTTTCAAATAAACAATACACATAGCAACTTCTGATCAGTCCATATCAATTTCAGAATTAAAATAACGTATTGATGTAAACCACACCCACTTCCAGTTAAGCTACACCCAGTTCCAGGTTAGGCCACGCCCACTCCAAGTTTAGATGGTTGAACAGATACAGATAGTGGTGTAGTCGCTCATTCCTAGTAAAAACTACACATTGTTACTTTAATGATTAAAATAAAATCTCATTTAAAAATTGCATTCAAATGACTTCAAATAGTTCTAAATAATTGTGAAAAATGCAAACCCGGTAATATAGAGTGCATTTCTGGTTGGTTCTGTTCCTCCCATCTTTTCCATCTTCTGACTGTATTTTCGTTACTGTAAGATTTCATTGTCTTATTTGTTTACGATAATAGTGATCTATTTGTGTGTTTTACAGTTCATAGATTTTTTACACATCTTTAACATCACAGTTCCATGGTGGACCCCTACCTGTGCTACCTGTGTTGAGACCCCACCCCTTTTGTTGTGACAGGCCTGTTCTCCAGTCACCATTTGCTCTATAAACCCACATTAAGTAAAGAACAAATTCAGTTATAAATATAGGCCAAGTTTGTATCTACACACGTTTTTGTAAATTGTTGATTGGATTTTTCTCTACTAGCAGGCTGTTTGCACAACTGACATGTTCAACTTACCTGTTCTACAGCTTCTCCTCATGCAAAACCAAACAGCAGCAGCAGAGATCAGCAGCAGGCCACCACACACAACTCCAGTAATCACAGCATCTAATCAGGAAAAACAAGCATGTGGATAAGCACTATGAGAATTATCTCTGAGCTAGAAGTGAAGTGTTTTCTTAAAACCAACCGCGTGTCTCGGTGGCATCAGAGTGGTCGCAGCTTCATACCTGAGGGAGGGTCAGCTTGGTCTTGGATTCTCTTGCACTCAGTGTCAGAGGTGGACGTGCAGTTCCTCAAAACCTCTTCATCATTCTTACATCTAGTTTGCAGACAGAAAAAATGACGGAGGAAGAACAGCCTCCACAGGAAAGCTGAGAGATCCGAGTGTCATCCTGACACACCAACGGATGAATGGCTGTGTTCTCTGCTTGGTTTCTAGACACTCACCTTGAACACGTCTTACATACTTCACACGCCTCCTCCGGATGACAGAACCTTCCTGGTTTGCATTTACACTGGGTATCTTGTGTGAGGGTACAATGCTCGACTACCTCCTGATCTGTGAAAGCAGTATTAAACAGGCCTTGTTACTTCAGAGTTTATGCTCAGAGAACATTGATGTTACGTCTACAGCCAATGCAGAATCACCGGAGCGACAGTGTGTGCACTTGAAGCATTGGTTTAGGCCGTTGGCATGCTCTGTGAATGTTCCAAAGGTGCATTCTTCACAGGTTCCTTTGTGTCCTGCTTTGGTGCAGGGGAACTTGACATATTCACCTAAAACACACATCCATCTATTAAAGCTCTCATCCACTCATTTCCCTCAACCCATTTGCTGTGGTCCTTAGTAAAAAGAAATGCCTCGTAAGTTGTTCTCCCTGAAAAAGAAAACAAAAGCTTTAAGCACGAAGTAGAAGTTACTGGGCCTTTACGTAACGTTAGGAAAGCCCTGTTATGGAGGATGGGTGCGTTTGCACTGGCTGCAAAGCACAGGGAGGAAGAAGAAGAAGAAGAAAATATCATTTCTGTAGCGCCTCTCAAGATAAAAATCACGAGGCGCTTCGCAAAAACAAAAAATGTAAAAATGTGAAAAAGCATTTAGAAAATGGTTAAAATATATTTAAAATGGGCAAAAAATAAACAATTGTGATTTAAAAATGTTAAGAAAGAGAGAGAGTGAACAGGAAAGAGGGAAATCAGTGGATCCTGAGGAAGGTGGAATAGGTGGGGAGAGCAGAATAAAGAGAGAGGTGAAGAAGGTCATACAAAAGCCAGCTTGAACAAGTGAGTCTTCAGCTGCTTTTTAAAGGAGACCACTGAGTCCACTGATCTCAGGCTCAGGGGGAGAGAGGTCCAGAGTCTGGGGGCCACAGCAGCAGATGATCTGTCACCTTTGACCTTTAGCCTGGTGCTGCACAACCAGTAGGCTTTGATCACTGGACCTCAGGGACCTGCTGGGGGTGAAGGGACTGAGAAGATCACCAATGTAAGATGGTGCTTGTCCATGTAAGGCCCTATAGACCAGAACCAGGATCTTGAAATGAACCCTGAAGTTGACTGGCAGCCAGTGAAGCTGGAGGAGAAGCGGGGTGATGTGGGTGTGTTTGGAGGACTTGGTCAGAAGCCGAGCACAGGCGTTCTGAACCACCTGTAGACGGTTCAGGGAGGTTCTGCTCAGACACGTGAAAAGAGAGTTACAGTAGTCTAAGCGTGAGGAGATGAAGGTGTGGAGAACTGTCTCAAGTTCAGAGCGGGACAGAATGGGACTCAGCTTAGCAACGTTCCTGAGATGGAAGAAGGAAGAGCCAACAAGAGAACTGACATGAGAATCCAGGGTGAGTGCTGGGTCAAAGGTCACGCCAAGATTCCTGACGGAACGTTTGGTGTGAGAAGCAAGCTGACCAAGAGAGTCTCTGGCTTTGGGAACCAGCTTGTCTGGGGCACAGATGAGGATCTCAGTCTTATCTTCATTCAGCTGAAGAAAGCTCCCACCATCCAGGTTTTGATAGAGTCTAAGCAGGTGTGGAACAGCTGCAGCTTAAGCCTGGTTCATGCTTCTCTGTCAGCTCCACAAGGGACAGACACGCACGGATTGACGGAGGCGTTTTGCTCTCATACTTCTCCGTCTCCTGGGGAGTGTTGCAAAGCAATTGGCCGCAAGGACCACAGAGGGCGTAGCGCTGTTCTGTGGTATCCTGTCATGTATCGGTCCAAGATCGTGTGTTTATATTGTGTTTTCTGTACATAAGAGACTTTTTAACACAGACAAATTTGTCTCTCATTCTCCTCCACCTCTTCATGCGCTCGCCACCTCTAAACCCACGTTTTCTGTCATTTCCGTCCACAAATAAAACGCTTGCTGCGCATATTTTCACTCCTCCAGTCACGGGGAATTAAACGTTCATGTTTTTAGAGTTTTTTCGCGAGGTATTCTTCAAGCTTCTCCGTGTCTGCCGCTTGTTATCCTCGGCTCTCTTTATGTTTTTGAGGGCGCAATGGCGGCGCTGTACACAACAGCGGCATCCTGACCAATCACAAGCTTGCGTTGTCCGTCTTGACTGACAGATGTTTGGAAAAGAGAGCTCGACTCCGTCCGTCCTTGCGGAGCTCTCCGGCAGGCTTGCAAGGACGTTGCGTGTCTCCGCACTGACTCAGACGGAGAAGCATGAATCAGGCTTTAGACATCTCATGGGGCTTAAAGGAGATGTACAGTTGGATGTCATCTGCATAAAGATGGTAGGAGATTCCTTTGAAGGAGCTCAGGATGTGGTGAAGAGGGAGCAGATAGAGGAGGAAGAGCAGAGGCCCCAGCACAGAACCTTGTGGGACACCATGGATAAGAGAGGTGGTGGTTGGAATCGTCGTTTGGCTCCGGGCCAGAGCGCCACTCAGATAAACAAACAGGATGGTATGTCCTCGGTGCATCTTGGGCGATTGTGAACGAACGGAAGGACAAAAGAGTCTGGCGATCATAGGAGATGGTAGCAGGGACACTACTGAAGAGGATCGCAGACAGGAGCAAGGTGGAAAAGAGGAGGTGAGTGGAGAAAAGTTTGAAAACGTGGCCGGTGACTGCGGCTAAGCCAAGCACAGGCGCCATCTTGTTACCGACCAGAAAAGGAAAAATAGGATATAGGATTCCTTTATTTTTCCAGTACGGAAGGTTCATCATTTAGTTATTTTGCAAAATATCAGGATTATTCCAGATAGATGTGCGTCTGCATGGTACGTGCATATCCGCCACAGAACTCAACTCACGTATCCGCAGCATTTTGCGTAGAGGGATGAGTCGTACCAGCGTAAATAGATGCCAAATTGCGTACTGGCTACGCAAAATGCGTACAGGTTGGCAGGTCTGGTAAGGTGACTACCACTGACTGTTTGCTCTGCAACGGTAATGTTTTATCTCCACAAATATCACAAGTCTGAAGAAGTTATTCCATGTTGTGGAGTTGCAAATGCTAACAGTAAGCTTCTATTAGCCAAGACAAATTCTGCTCCCTCTTGGTCGCTAAATCAAAAGCAGCCTTTCCTGTCATGACATCGTCCATCCAGCGTGTCCTGGGTGTTCCCATGGGTCTTCTCATCCTCCCTGTTGGATGCATCCAGGAGGCATCCTGACCAGATGCCTGAGCCACCTCAAAGTGCTCTTCTCGATGTGGAGGAGCAGCATATCTACGCCGAGCCCCTTCCAGATGACTGAGCTTCTCACCCTATCTCTAAGGGAGAGCCCAGCCACCCTGCGGAAAACTCATTTCAGCGTGATCTCGTCCTTTCGGTCACTACCCAAAGCTCGTGACCATAGGTGAAGGTAGGAATGTAGATCTCACCCACGCACCGAGTTCAACAAGACATTCATTCCTACTAGAGACCACAGCTAATTATTAGTAAACAAGTGTCCCACACCTTTGATTGAGATCATGTTGTGTGGCTCCTTGATTTCTTACCAGCTCTACAGTTTAAACAGCATATGTTATTGTTTGAGTATTCCTGGTGTTCACTGCAGAAGGTGTGCCTCAAATTCCTGATGTCTCTCATGCTGGTGCCAGGCTGGGGGACTGCACCCAAAGCTGGGAAGAGACATATTGATGCGAAGAAAACCTTTTGGAAAACAGAAGGCAAAGAAGTTAAAAACAGAGCTAGCCATCATGGGAAAACAGTGTCACAAGATTCAATCAGCACAGCACCATTTCAATATCTATGGCAATAAAGTTTTATACTAATCTATCATATTCAGTTGCATCTGACTGAAAACTACTATAATAGATGCATCGACTGCTCCAATTTTTTTATTGGCAAGACCACTTGAGTCTTGACATCATCTAATTTAATTTTTCTAAATTACTGTTTTCACACAAATGAATACATTGACAGGAAATAAACTGTTTTAGTCAGGGAAAAGATTATTTCAATCCATGTGAACTTCGTACATTTGCCTAATGAAAAACAAATTATCACTCTGAAATTTTCATGTTTCATGGTAGATGTATTTAAAAAATGGTGGGGTTATTCATAAAAACATCAAGGAAAAAGCATTTCTAAATAAATATGCGTTTCCATGAACGAAACAAGTATTTAATACGCAATCAGTCAGCAAGATTTTCAACTCCCAGGTATATTTTATGCAGGCAATGAGCTGACAATGGGAGCCTTCTCAACTCATTGCCTACAGAAAAGACACATGTCCAAAATAATTGGCTGTAACCCCTTCTTTCCACCGGAGCCGTCAGCAGCACGTTACTGCAGCAGCACGTCTTGCTTGCGTAAGCTGCTGCTTGGCCCTTCCCACGAGACGCGAAGCAGCAGGGGAGCAGCTGTCACCGACCGAGCACGAAGTCACACGAGTGACTTTGTCAGTAAACACAACAACAAGCAGGAGAAAACTACTACATGGTTTGTGTTTTATGTTCTGTCCGTTTTATAATCCAATACGGACCTGAAAAACAAAGGAGACCGCTAGCTAGGTGATAACTTCTCACGGGGCCGCACAGTTAGTAACATTTTTAAAAGTAAAGCAACCGAAGGCAGTACGTTTCTTTATTCTGAAAATCTCGGGAAGCTTTGCTCCGTTTCCGCGTCCGATTTCCTGTCTTTCCTTCCCCAAAAATGTCGAACTTGACCCGTTTCAGAGGCGTCGCGCGTAGAAGACAGAACCGGTGCGTAAGGGCCGCGACATGCTGCTCCTGAGTTTCGGCCGACTTGCGCTGCTGACGGCTCTGGCGGAAAAGGTTCTGTTGACCACAGAGGTTCCTATCAGCAGCTATGATGTGCTGCTGACGGCTCTGGTGGAAAGCAGGGGTAAGGGTAAAAGCTGCAGTTGGGTATGAGAGTGGACTGAACATGTGGCAATAACTGGAAAATAACAGTATTCTGAGGATAATACCGTCCCAATCAAAAGTTCAAGTCCACTTGAAAAATCATTTTGCATGATTCGATCCTGAGCACAGCAACAGCATGCAACAAAAATGGGAGCGAGACAAAACATTTTATGAGCAGCAATTTATTAACTAGAACATTTATGAAGACATTTTGAAAGGAGCGTGCCAACTGCCACAAGATAGTGGCCATGTGTCCAAGGCTAATGTGCACCGCCACATCATCAACACCTCAAACCCTCTTCATGTCCTATAAGCTTGCTAATAAATTGTGCATGTCACCAGTGGGTGGTGTAATGACCGATCCACTATAATTCAATCCAATTCAATTCAAAAATACTTTATTAATCCCAGGGGGGAAGTTGATAAAACAGTCATTAGTAGTCTGCTGAGCTCCCTCTACCGTTGTACAGGCCAAGACCACAATTTGGTGCTTTTGGAAGCCTCTGGAGGACCCCCAGACCCCAGGTCCGGAGGCTGGATGTTCAGGGGTGTATCTACAGGTCAAGACCATGATCTGAGGCTTCTGTAGGCTTCTGGAAGGCCCATAGAGCCCAGGTCTTGATTCTGGCACAGGTCGGGTGTTTAGGGGTGGATCTACAGGTCAAGACCACAATCTGAGTTAGTTGGAGGCCTCTGGAGGACCCACAGACCTCAGGCCCAGAGTTTGGCTAAGGTTGGGTGTTCAGGAACGGATCTACAGTTCAAGACCACAATCTAGGGCTTATGGAGGCCTCTGAAAGACTCCCAGAGGCCAGGTCCTAATTGTGGCCAAGGTCGGGTGTTCAGGATTAGTTCTACAGGTCAAGACCACAATATGGGTCTTTTGAAGGCACCCGGAGGACTCCCAGACCCCAGGTCCGGATTTTGACCCAGGTCAGGTGTTCCGGGCTGGATCTACAAGTCAGGACCACGAGCCGGGTTATTTTTTTTTTTTGGAGGTCTGTGGATGACCCCCAGAACCCATTTCCTGATTTTGGCCAAGGTCAAGTGTTCAGGGGTGGATCTACAGGTCAAGACCACGATCCGCATCTGCTGGAGGCCTCTGGAGGACCCCAAAAGCCCAGTCCCAGATTTTGGCACAGTTTTGGTGTTCTGGGGTGGATCTACAGGATCTACAAGACCACAATCTGAGTCTTCTGGAGGCCTCTGGAGAAAGACTTATTCAATCTAGGAGGCACCATCTTTAAATCAAATAAAGTCCCATTGAGTTATTCTTTTATTTACAACGATCATTTATGTGTAGTTCTGTGAGGATTAGATCTCGCAAGTTTTGTTTACAGGAAACCGTCTCTAAGGGAGTAAAGCTAGAATTCTTTCAACAAATGAGCACATAAATGTGTTGGCAGCATTTGTGTGATGACACAGCAAGTTTGGTACGGTTGTGAACTTGACTGTGGAAGTTGTTAGTTTGAAAGGGTTGTAAGGAGCGCTGTAGGGGGATTAGACCAGGTTCACCAACATTTGCAAACACTTCTTTTAGGGGCAGATCAGATAATGTATGTCATATTAAAACCAATCGTAATGGGATGGATGTATTTGTGCAGTTTTTTGTTAATAGCCTTGCCACGGTAACTTGAACAGCTAAGAAAAGTAATAGCACCCTTCCCCCAACCGAGTCAGTTGATTTCATGTAAGCTGGAGAGCACTCCTTCTGGTGACTCCCTTGTTGACCTGAAGGACTTCATTGCTCAAATACGCCCCCCTGATCTGAATTTGAGCAGTGCTTTGTTATTGGAATCCGTGCACATCATGGATTGTCCACAATGAACACCGTGTTCAAGCATAAAGGGGTCCATATGTGTTCTTGGCACCAGGACACCTTATGCCACAGTTCAATAATGGACTTCAATGTCATTTCATCGGATCTGAGGCTGCATGTCTTGGACAGTCGGGTAGAGGGGCGGACCTGTCAACTGACCACCACCTGGTGATGGGTAGAGAACCCATTGTCTCTTGCTAGACAAGGTGTAGCTGTCTATACCCCATGGTCCTTCAACACCTTGTGGCTCCCTGATGATGTGTTTTCCCCGTCGCATCTACCCCAACTGTGTGTCGTGACGTGGGCTCAGGCCGCTAACGTGTCTACCCCCCGACCATCTGATGGTTTTGTGTCTGTTCAACGAGTATTTTCTGAGAACAGCTTTGTGTCTCCAGTCCAAGGACCATCCTGCTATCAGCAGGATGGTCCTGTACCTTTCTGATCAGACAGCTCATCTGCCGTTTCTGTCGAGCTTGACTCCGTTACTGAGCTCAGTGCTCACTTTCGTGTTTGTGCCACGCTGAGAATGGTTTAAGGGTTGCTTATACACATCTCCAAGCCTCCATCATCGCCTGTCCTTGTGGCGCCACAGTCCCTAAAGGGGGGTATGATCACGCAAGCTCATTATTCTCCTTCGACTGGACACAAAGGTGTCAAGGCCATGTTTGGTGCCCTGGGCCAGGTCGCTTACTGGCCGGGGATGCGTTGAGACATCTCAGACTACGTCCAGAGCTGTTTGGTTTGCTGTCAATTTCAGCCGTCTAACCCCATCCACAGAGCTCCTCTACAAAGCAGGGGAACGTCCACACCGTGGTCAGACCTGCAATTTGATTGGGTGCGGCCTGTGACCAAGTCCAGCAGAGGTAACCAATACTTCTTGACCGTGACCTGTGCATTCACCAAATGGGTCGAATGTTTGCCAGCACCTAATGACATGGCACAGACAACTTCTGTCCTTTGATGAATCACATCTTCTCCCAGATCGGTCTCCCCGCACGTGTTAACTCGGATAGGGGAACTCACTTCACCTCTGAAGTGATGGAACACCTTTGGCAGATGTTGGGGGTAAAGGCCAGTTTCCACATTGGTTACCGGCCCCAGTCTTCTGGCCAAGTTGAAAGGATGAACCAGATGGTGGTCAGTGATTTAAAGAAATACATGTCTTCTAATCACAGAGACTGGAATGTGAAGCTTCTGTTGGTCCTTATGGCCATACAGGCCACTCCCCATTTGTCCACAGGTGTCTCCCCATTTGAAATGATGACAGGTAGACAGATGACCCTGCTGCTTCACTTGCTGTACCAGTCAGTCCTGTCCAATGCCGCTCCGGCTTACACTAACGAGCAGTATTTACAAAACCTGAAGAACCATCTGCCTGCAGCGTTTTCTTTTGCACAGACGAGTCTGTAGAAATCAGCTGAGGGCAGGAAGGCTTACTATGATCAGAAGGACTCACATTCTGAACTCAACATAGGTGATGAGGGCTGGTTCTACAACTTTGCTCCTAAGTCCGGTCACACAAAAGTCACCTCTGGTAAACTGGCTAAGAAACGTTTGCCGAAGTGGTCTGGTCTATAACTGATGACAGAAAAACTCTCTCCAGTTTTGTATAAGATCAAGATCACCAAAAGTAATAAATATCCCGTCTATAAGTGGGTCCACAGGAACCAAATCAAACCTCACAAGGGTTCCACAAACTTTGATAACACCACCCATAAATGGCATATTTATTTGAACATGATGACATATCTATTTGAACATATTTAAACCTGTTTGAACATATCATAACATAATTTCAACAAAATAAAATTTTATTATTATTATTATGTCCAAAGGGAGCAGGAAGAAGTATAAGCTTTTTTTATTTCCTGCCCCTTTTCCCATTTGTTCAAAAATCAAAAGGAACAATGTCGTTTGCATTAATTCATCATGAAATCCTCTATATTCACCTATAGTCAAATGGCCCGTTTACACCACTCACTGGATCTTTTTGAGTCAAAATCCCTCTTCCTCCCTGTACCTCATGAAGACCATATTTTTGTACCACTTTCTAAATTGGGTCATACTTGGACATTGCTTTAAATCCCTATTTAATCTATTCCATGATTTTACCCCACGAACAGCGATGCACTGACTTTTTACTGTCGTTCGCACAGACGGGTAGTTTAAATTCCATTCCTCTCTCAAATTATATCGTTTATCTCTATATGATAAATACTTTTGTATATTACCAGGGAGTAGTTTGTCATTAGCTTAATATATTATTTGTAATGTCAAGAATTGAACAAGGTCAGTAAACTTTAATACTCGTGATTTCAAAAACAGGTTGTTAGTATGATCTCTGTAGCCCGCTTTATTAATAATCCTGATGACTTTCTTCTGTAATATTATTATTGGTGATAATGTAGTTTTATAAGTGTTGCCCCAGACCTCTGCACAATAATTTAAATATGGTTGCACCAGCACACAGTATAACATGTGAAGTACATTGCGATCCAGGAAATGTTTCACTTTATTTAATATGGAAATACTTCTTATTGTTTTGTTGTGAATGTGTTTTATTTGTTGTTTCCAACTAATTTTATCATTCATTATAACACCCAGTGATGTATAATAATTCACCCTTTCAATAGTTACACCATCAATATCGGTCACAATTTGCATGTTTACTTTGTTATTACCAAATATCATGTATTGTAAATCTGATAACCCAACTCGAATCGAATCGCACCAAAGGGGGTGAATTTTCCGTCCGCTCTCCCTCGGTTCTCTGTTTCAAGTCACACAAGTTCTGTTGAGTATATGTGTGTGTGAGTGGATATAATTCATGTCTAAACATAACATACAGACTTGGTTAACGTAGGAAAGGGTAAATGTTCTCCTATATATTGACCAACATAATAACCTTTATCTACAGAAATAAATCCACTTTCTATGTGACCTTCTAAATTCAGATGGTTCTGCTCAGCGCGTGTTTACGTACCATCAAGACCAAACATTCAAACAAACATTCTCACCCAAGGTTCCTGCATTCACTGCATGAACGCCAGATGTCAACATTCTTCACTCTGAATGAGTGAAGACTCCACAATGTTATAGTTATAAGTTAAATATTCATATGTGAACAAACTGTTTGAATGAAATGTTTGAATAATCTGAGCACAAATCAATGAATTTGAAATGAAGACTGTTCCTACAATGATCCATTTATATCACAAATCACCATGTGTTTGATTTAACAACTTAATCATTATCTACACTCATACACATGACAATAAGACACTCATTAAGGTAAAAAAAATCTTTATATCTGAAGGAAGGCGTGGCTTTGTGAGGGATGTTGGTAAATACTCAGAAACGTGTCAAATTCTGATTGGCCAAACTCGGCCAGAAGTCATAACAAAAAAGTTTAATAAAACAGGATTTACTTCCCGATTAATTCAGTTTCCAGCTGAGCGCCGAATCGGCCAAATCGAGAAAGAAGCCTCTTTTGAACCCATCTCCTTTGACCTTAAGTCAAAACCTTTCTGCGATGCTGCAAGTGATTACAGACACAACAGCTCTTTTCAGAGCTACTTAACTCTCAGACATCGACCTTGGACACCTAACCTGCAGACCCTGGGTTGCATCTCATGGCTGGGGAAGCTGAACTCTGAGGAAGCCTTCAACGTCACCACTCTGACCGCAACCCTCCGGACCGCCGGGAGCAACTTATACAAGGGTATCGTAAGCCTGCATACTGGTGTCTGATGAGGTTTATATCAATAACCAACTCTCTAGTTTATAACAAACAACAAATTCTTTTACACCCAGATTTCACAATCTCTCTCAGATGCAAAGAACGGTTGCTACCACATCTTGTTTCCATCACAACACCTCACATCCACCACACCACATCTCCTTATTCATATAATCTGAAGAATTATATAACTTGAATGAAATATAAGAATTAGAATACCTGAAGAATCAAAGAACCCTAGAATCTTCTGATTAAACATTCAAAGATCAGATTGATATTTCATATTTATATGGAATCATCACATCTTATTGGTCTTAATTAATTTGTATTAATTGCTACACAAATAAAATGTGATAATTCCATATAAATATGAAATATCAATCTGATCTTTGAATGTTTAATCAGAAGATTGTAGTAACTTTACTTATTCAGGGACCATAAACACATGTTGTACTAATTCAGACAGAGTCAGTATATAGTTTATAAAATGAAATTATTGTTTTCCCTAAACTGTCATGATTCCTGATTTCCTTTAAAAGAAATTTTACTTATTCTGGTTCAGGACCCTGGACAGCGTCCTCCAGCTCTTGCCCTCTATGCTGTTCAGAGGATCAGCACCACGGAGAGGGGCACGCTGAGACTCCACACCTGCCTGCCCGTCGACACCAGCTGCGACCGATCAGCAATCACCCCTCATGCCTCTACAAATGGGAGCCACTGCAGTTCACTCGAGGAGCTTCAGAAGGGGAAAGAAAGGAGTCAAGAGGCAGGCAGTAACAAGGAGGAAGCCGGCCGACAAGAGAGGAGAGAAAAGAGGGTTACATCAAAGGAGAGGAAAGGAAACTGGTTCCAAGTGACAGAGAGAGGGGAAGACTTTCCCCCATCCACCACCTTCAACCTGTCACTGATAAATCCCGAGCTGCCAGGAGGGGTCACCTGGAGCCATTGGGAAAAAAAGGAGAGTGTGAGACGCTGGCTCCTTGCTGAGCCGTAATTGCTGGACTGATCTTTTTATTATTCTTTTAGGATTCAATTAATAAGTCGGACCTCTGCCCTTTTGTTGAGTTAGCCATTTCAGAGTTTATTTTTAGAGTCACATTTGTTAATAAAAGATGTGTATGACAATACCTAGTCCCCTATTTTTGCTCCCACCACACTTGTGCTGCCCCTCCTGGTAATTCCTAGTCCCGGAGGGGTCTAACATAAACTAAACTACACATGACAAAATATGAATGGGATGATGGATATGAAGTGGATTAATGTGATGGATGCGATGCTGTAATGGAAGCTGGACGTTTTAGCAAACCCTTTCTTAAGTGTCAGGGAATTTGTAGAGTCTGGGTTGTACAAGAATTTGGCTGCAAGTTTGTTAAACTACAGATTTGTTTAAAAAACCATCCAACACCAGTCTGCAGGCTACAATACCCTTTTGTATGCGTTGCTCCTGGCGGTCCAGAGGAAGGGTGGCCTGAGTGAAGAAGGAAGCCAGAGCCATGAGGAGAAACAGACCAGATCACAGCAATCCGCAGCGATCCATAGCAAAGCCAGGAGCTAGGAAAACCATAGCAGGAAAACCATAGAATGTCCAGAACTCCAGAAGAACCGGAACCCAGAGCAGCAGGAAGCTGGTTGAGTCAACCGTGTCCAGTGCCTCCACCCACCAACTGGAACAATAGGCTTAAAGTGGTTGAGAAGGTCTTCGCCCAACCGGAAAGAAAAAGCCTCGATGTCGGACACAAACACTGGGCGTCTCACAGACATGCCACTCACTGAAAGGTCAAGGAAAGCAACAGACGACAAGGTCATTGGATGCCGTAGATCTTTTTAAAACACAGAAACAGTTCCATTACCTGTTTTCCCGCTACGTTTCGTTTGCGGCTGCAAACTTCCTCAGGCTGACGCTGATGGTGGCGCGTCACTTCCTTCTCTGTTTATCCGCGGGCAGCAGAGGACGTTGTCACCCTCTGCTGCCCGCTCTCCCCTCTCCGACGATGCAGTCCCATGCGCGGTCCAACGTGTAAACTCCATCATCCCTGTTCATGGTCCCACATCCACGTCTCCTCATCTCGATTGCTCGGACCATGAGCAGGGACGATGGAGTTTACACGCTGGACCGCGCATGGGACTGCATCATCGGAGAGGGGAGAGCGGGCAGCAATCAATCAATCAATCAATCAAAGCTTTATTTATAAAATGCCTTCCGCAACCCTGTCAGGAAGCCCAAAGCGCTGAACATGGTACAGTAGAAGGTAAATATATTGAATAAATCAACAATAAAAGCAATTCAAATTACAAAATACAAATTACAAGATAGATGAAACATTCTGGTACAGGACAAATGTGTGAAACACATTTGGATTGAGTGGATGGATTGAGTGAACCAATGAAAACTGTGAAATAAATTCAACATAAAAGAGGGCAAAAATCAAACATGTTCTGGAAACGCCAAGCAGAGGAAGTGTGTTTTTAGGTGATTCTTAAATGCTGGCAGAGATGGGGACAGCCTAACTGAGGGTGGCAACTGGTTCCAGAGTGACGGTGCTAGGACTGAGAAAGCCCGGTCCCCGCGAGTACGACACCTAGAACGAGGGACAGCGAGCAGGCCTTGGTCAGAGGAGCGCAGAGCGCGTGATGGGGAGTGTCTGTTCAGGAGCGTGGCCAGATAGGGGGGAGCACCACCCTGGAAGAAATGATAAACAAAGACGAGGATTTTGAATTGTGAGCGATAGCAAATCGGAAGCCAGTGCAGGGAGGCCAGAACTGGACTGATGTGGTCCCGTTTCCTGGTCCCAGTCAGGAACCTGGCAGCGCTGTTCTGCACAACCTGTAGGCGACGCAGTGTTGACTGACACAACCCTGCATATAGAGAGTTGCAGTAGTCAAGCCTAGAAATAACAAAGGCATGCAGTACCCGCTCCAGGTGGGCTCTCGACAGCATATGCTTGATTTTTGCAAGGCGTCTCAAGTGAAAGAAACTGGACCGGATCACAGAATTGATGTGAGCATCACATTTAAGTCCTGCAGCAGAGGGCAACAACGTCCTCTGCTGCCCGTGGATAAACCGAGAAGGAAGTGACGCCACCATCAGCGTCAGCCTGAAGAAGCCGGCAGCCGCAAACGAAACGTAGCGGGAAAACAGGTAATGGAACTGCTCTGTGTTTTAAAAAAGAACTACAGCATGGAATTAGAGATACGACACAGCAAGAACACACCTAAGAAGGTCATTGGATCTGGAGCAAAAGCACTGATGTCCACAGACCAGGGTGTGATGACCCTGTCCAGCCGCAGCCACGCGGATGCTCTCCCAAAGAGAACGGGACATGATGGTGAGGTCTGAACTGGAGTCTAAGATAGTGTCACGTTATAGCGACCCCTCAAGGGTAACTGGGATGTGAGGTTTCTCCCTGGGACCTTCAAGATTCTCAAGAATTTTTTTTAAAGTTGCCATTTTTTTCCCCATACCAGGTTCATCGCGATAACCAAAGAAAGCATGGAAAAGGCATCTGTAGAAAACATCTGGATCTTCAAATGAACTATGTTTAACTGACATGGCTTATCTTAAACCTGCAGTATATGCCATTCCTGAGAACTCGTCCTTCAGAGCTTTGCAGAGGAGGAAGTAGTCACTTTTGACTTCAGGAAGTTGGTGATCAATGAAATCACTCGCTACTGTGGAAAAGGTGAGCCTGATCAAGAAAATCTTATCAGAAATAGAAGAAGTTGGAAACCGGTGAAGGTCAGGGCTGTACGTTAACATTTGTAGCTTATGGCACCGGTGCTACGAAGGACGTAGGTTTTGTAGCACAGAACAAAAGGTTGTAGCACCAGCATAAAAAATGTGTTACAATCTCTGAAAACCAAAAGCACTTCTTACAATTACTTAAACACACCGACAAACACCAGTGCATATAATTAAAACACAATAACAACCACCAAAGCAGATTCCTGGCAGCGTGAGTCTAACTCACGTACTTTACAGTAAAGTTGATTCTGAAATGTCAGACATTCTCATCAGTGTCATTTAGAAATGAACATTGTCTTTTATTCAAGTTAGTGTAGATTTTGTTCGCTACAGACGTCCGTCCTCAACAGCATAGACACAGTAGACGCTTCGCCGATCGCTACTGTGCATGACAGTCGCATTTTCGTGTTCTATTTTTTATAAACGGTATGGTTAACAGGATGTTTTAGCTTAGGCGTTAGCTCCATGGAGATGAGGAGCTCTCACACTGTGGTAGAGTGTTGTTCATAAACCCGTTCACATGCCAGAATGAGAGCTCGCTTTAATATTAATCAGGAAAAATACGTGCGAGTTTGGTTTACGTTCACAAAAAAATACCCCAACAACTTCACGATTGATCGTTAAATGAGCTTGTTCAGGTACAACACCACCGTGTTACATTTATAAACTTTTACCTTCTCAGACGTACCTTGGTTTGGTGCAGGTTGTGTTTTTGTTTCTTATTGTTTGTTTGTTTTCTGTTCTGTTGAAGTTTTAAAATAGGAATGCAGCTATTGGATATTTTAGTATTTGAATGTTCTATTGAGTCTTCTGATTAATCGAATATTCTATTTTGACATGTTTGAAGTGGAACGAGACCGTGGTCTCCCTCTAAAAATATGAGATAAAACTACAAACTTATGAGGATGAAATGTCAGACTCTTGTTATAAAAGGCTCCTCCCTATGTCCCGAAGTCTCCTCCCTTTCTGGTCGGCTCACTAATAGTTATTTTCTAATCTGCTTTGCTTTACGCCCTGGATCACACATATGTTGTACTTATATTTAAATGAAAAGTAATGATGGGTGTTTCGACCATGCCAGTCACTCACTTTGAGATTTATCAGCTTGTAATTGTTCGTAATTAGTATGACTACAAATCAGACATCGGCACGTTGCATATTTGACGTCACCACATCATCTCCTCCCCCCCTAGCATAGCTGCTACTTACCACATGGCCAGATTTATGGTGTTTCTTTCCTCCTGAAAAAAGTATTTGAAGTTCACTGAACTTACAGCCATTGTCCCTCAGTTTTCTCTGTGTCTGCTTCGATGACATCACTGTTGAGAAGAAAATTTGTAGTTCTGGACTTATTTTTACACAAAACCAAAAAAAAACAGTTCCCCCGTTCTAAAATAAGCGTGTTCTTGGTATCAAATTTGTGTTGTATAGTTCACTCTTTGCCATCTGATATTTATAATTATTTATTGAAAGCCCACATGCCCGCCCACAGCCTCCCACCCCCAAGCCAGCCGAGACCAGAACCCAGCGACCCGGGATCCAGGGGCGACCAGCCCCGCCGGGGACCCAACAGAGTTCAGGGACTCACCCACCAGACCGCCACTGGGATCGATCTGACAGATGCCAAAAATCTTAAACCCCCTGACCCGGGTGTGTACAGGTGTCAGACGACACAAACCCCATCCTGAACATCCGATGACCTGTATAGTGTACTCTGTGTAGAATTTTGTACTGAATTAATTGTAAATTGGGGTGTCTGATCATTTTAAAAGTTTTTAAACAAGTTTGGGACCAGAAGTTCTGGTCAAAGCTGACTGATAGATCCACCTCCCATTTTTCAATAGGGATTGCTATTCTATCGTCTATTTTGGACAGTGTCTTATATACTTTAGACAGTAGTTTGGGGGGGTTTGAGATTATAGAAGTCTAATACCGTTGGTGGCGTTTGTAATTCTACTTTATTAAGCTTAAATTTTTGTTTGACTACAGATTTAATTTGGTGATATTCTAAAAAGCTATTCTTATCCATTCCAAATTGGGAGACTATTCTATTAAATGGGATGAAGTTCAATCCTTCATATATGTGTTCCAGGTATAGGATTCCTTTACTTTTCCAGTCCGGAAGGTTCATTATTTTGGGTATTCTGAAAAATATCAGGATTATTCCAGATAGGTGTGCGTCTGCATGGTACTAGTGAAGACTCTGTCATTTTAAGATACTCCCACCATGCTGTCAGAGAGGTGCTGATACTAATACTTTTCAAGCCTTCATGTTTTCTTATGCTTGAGCTAATAAATGGTAAGTCTGAAAGCTCTATCGCATTGCAAAGTGTCTGTTCTATATCTAACCAGGACTCATCTAGTGGGTTATCTTGCAACCATCTTGGTATATATTGGAGCCTGTTGGCTAAGAAATAATAATAAAAGTTGGGTAAATCCAGTCCTCCTTTGTCTTTGGTCTTCTGAAGCGTTTTTAAGCTAATTCGTGGAGGTTTATCCTGCCAAAGGAATTTAGTAATTGAGGAGTCCAGAGATTTAAACCAGTCAGCTGGAGGTTTGTTTGGGATCATTGAAAATAAGTAATTTATTCTGGGTAAGACCATCATTTTAATTGTAGCAACTCTCCCCATGAGTGATATTGGTAAGCATTTCCATCTTGCAAGATCATCTTCCACGTTCTTTAAAAGTGGGATGTAGTTTAGTTTAGTTAGATCTGCTAACTTGGTAGAGACATTAATTCCCAGGTATGTGATATTCCCTGACTCCAATTGTGTATTAAGCAAATTGACAAATGAGAAATTAATTGGTAGAACTGTGGATTTTAACCAGTTTATAGAGTAATCTGAAACTCTTGAAAAACAGTATCAGTTCTATTGCTTGGGAGAGAGAGGATTGAGAATTCTGGCGAAAGAGTAAAACATCATCTACATAAAGACTTATCTTATGTTCTATTTTCTTACACTTTATCCCTTTAATACCTGTTGTTTACCTGACTGTTATCTTTATTGAACCACTAGCAGCAGCAAACAGTGAGGGGGAGAGTGGGCATCCCTGCCTGGTCCCCCTCTGAAGACAGAAGCTAGTTGATATTTGGTCGTTCGTCCTGACACGTGCTGTTGGTGAACTGTGTAATGTTTGTAGCCAGTTTATGAAGAAGTTCCCAAAGCCAAATTTATGTAAAGTTGCAAATAAGAACTTCCTGTTAACTCTATCAAAAGCCTTTTCTGCATCTAGAGATAATATACTAGTCTCTATATTTCTACTGTAAG